CCCGCGCGTGGGGCCTGTGGGCGTGCTGCTACTAAGGCCACCGCTGCGGTTAAAACTCGGCAGTGCCCTGTGCATGCCGGACGCCATGGCGAACCCTGTCCTGGATACTTTGGGCATGACCGTGTCTATGCTGCCTGGTTTCGCCAACTGCGACGCCTCCAGTCCTTTGTTCATGCTGTCCGCAAGGCCTCAGATACTGACGGGGCAGTTGAGTACCGTGCGGGTCTCTGGCACGCCATCCTCAATGGCCCTGGTTTTCACCGAGGTTTTCGCGCCTGGTGGCCTCTCCGTAAGGTCACGCACCCGGCCGATCCGGCTACCTGCCCGGTCTCCCCTCCTTCCTTGGCTTTGGCCCAGGCTCTCCTTGACTCCTTTCAGCGCAATGTCACGCAGTTTGAAAGAGATCTCCGGAAAACACGGCGGGAGACGGCTGCTGCACGGAGGGCCTCGGACCCCTCCGTTATCTTTCGTGACCTCAAGAAGATACCAGCCCAGCCTGTGGACACTTTGGTGCTCAAAACCGTGGCGGTCGTCTCGGAGGTGTGCCAAGATGACTCCCACCTCAAGCTTCGGTCTGATGTCTCCTGGCGCCCGGAGCAGGGTTTCTTTCTCAATGGCCACCCGCTGGAAGTCTTCCATTGTGAGCCCGATGTCGTGTGGGCCTCGACCGAGGGCGTTGCACCTGGGGATGTAATCAGCCAGGAACGTCCACTGGCTTCTCTTCATGAGGTCTTCCAGGCCTTTGCGGATGAATGGCAGACGCGTTGGCTTAAGCATGAGAATGTTGACCCTGATGTGTGGCGGGCCCTCACTGACTCAGTCGGTGTGCCGGCGCTGCGGCCTTACCCTTGGCAACCGATCTCAGTTGAGGAGTGGACCCGGGCGGTTAAGGCCAAGCACTCCAAGTCTGCCACTGGCCCTGATGGTGTGTCAAGGATTGACTTGATTGCCCTCACCCCTCCCTTCGTTGAACGGCTCCTGCGTATCGTGTCTTCTGCTGAAGACACGGGCAGCTGGCC